GTATCCTAAGAATACGAATTTAAGCTTGATAGGTTTTAGTGATGCCGACTTTGGAGGGTGTCGTATTGATCGGAAAAGCACAAGTGGCACATGTCAATTCATAGGTCATGCACTAGTGTCTTGGTCATCTAAGGAACAACACTCTGTCGCCCTATCCACCGCCGAAGCGGAATATGTGGCTATGGGTAGTTGTGTTGCTCAAATTTTATGGATGATGCAAACACTAAGTGACTTTAACTTAAAATTTTCAAAAGTGCCTATTTTTTGTGATAACTCAAGTGCAATAAATATTTCCAAAAATCCTGTTTTGCATTCTAGAACTAAACATATAGAAATAAGACATCATTTCATACGTGATCATGTTGCAAAGGGAGATATTCAAATTGAATATGTAAATACACTTGAACAACGTGCTGACATTTTTACAAAACCATTAGATGAAAAACAATTTTTACATATTTGTCGGGAAATGGGAATGCTTGAATTAAAGTGAAATTTAAGGTTCTTGTTATCCCATTATATCATAAAAATAAATTGATCAAGTCCAAATGCTCAAAACACGCGTCAAGAAGTCGAAACAAAACATTAAGCTGAGACACGGTACCCCTGCCGGTACCATGGTCCCGTACAAAATAGGTGCCGCCAGAAATGAATGGGATTTTGGAAGCTTCACGGTATCTGGACACGGTACACCATACCGTGTAGACGGTACCAAGATACCATTATCACGGTACCTTGGTACCGACCGTCTCGTCGGGTCAAAACAATTTAAAACCCTAGACCAGCGTCTATTCAGCATCTGCAGCGTCTCTCTCCCGGCGATCTCTCTCGTCTCCTTTCTACCGTAAGGCATCCAAGGTAAACATTCATCCAAATTTCATCAATTTTATCATCAATTAAGCTTCAATTTCCATATCCTCTCCTTAATTCGTGGATTAAGTATCACTTTTCCCATTTTTCGTCCAATTTTCCTAATTTTCTCAAAATCTCCAAAATGAGTGAAATTGTTTCAAATGTTCAACCCGATGTCCAAGGTGGGTTCAAGGCTTACGCCGACCCACATATCATTGAGGGGAGAACCCTTAAACAAGATGACATCCCGGTTCCCGTTCTTGAACTAATTCAAGAACAAGGTTGGAGTTTCTTTCTTCAACTCCAAGCCCCCGTTTACCCGGACCTCGTTCATCAATTCTATTCTTCTATGAAATACTATCCCGAAGACCCTTCCATTACTGCCGTAGTTGTTGTAAAAACCTTCGGATTCAACACCCAAAACCTTTCCGAATGGTTTCACCTAGAGCGTCAAGGAGTCTCCACCTATTGCAAAAAGGGGTGGATTACCGACTCAGGAGACTTTAACTCTGATTCTTGCCTCCGAGTGCTAAACAACATTGCCCTTAACCATGTCTTTGAGGACCCGAACTACTTCCTTCGTAGGCCAAATGTCCAAGACTTACCCGCAAATAGGTTCATCCTTCTCAAAATCCTCAAAGAAAATGTCATCCCGGTCCTTAACAAAGATAAACAAGTTGGGGTTTATGAATGCACTCTTCTATATTGGCTCCTAACTCACAAGAAAATCAATCTCCCTTCCATCATCCTAAAACACATGTACGAATGCTCCGGTCGCCAAAACAAACCCTATGGCATGCTTCTTACCCACATCTTTGCCAAGAGGGAAATTCTTGAGGTGCGCCCTTCTCGTGTCCGCTATCTTGATGCGGAGTGCCTTGGCTATTGTGGCCTTGTGAAGATTGGAGAAGAGTACTACATGAAGAAGGAGTTTCAAAATCTTGATGAAGCTACACGAGCAGCGTATGGCCCTCGACGATCCTTGCCCTCTGTGCCATCTACTTCACGAGCACCCCGGGCCGAAGCCGCAGAAAATGCCAATACAGATGTCCCCGTTCGTGCTCCTAGGGTCAAACGCTCAAAGTCGGCGTCTCATGCTTCTTCGGCCTCTCTATTGCACCGTCACTCTCAAATGGCTTCCACTTCCAAAAACCCCTTCAAGAAGTTCAAGAAATTCATCCTCAAGACCGTAGTGGCTCCGATGAAGAAAATTCAAGAAAGCCTTGATGACCTCTCGGATCGGATGAAGAAGATGGAGGACTGTGAGAATCGCCAAAAGCAAAATGAGGATCGTGCTTCTAGACGTCGTCGCTAAGTATTGAGCATTTGACAAAATGATCAAACATTCACTTATCTATGTTTAAAAAAAAATTTATTATGTATTTTGTTTTATGTTTCAACCTCCTATCATGTCTCATGTTTAAAACTCGTACTTATGCACTTTTATGATTGTTAACCCCTTTATGATTATGCTTATGATCCACTTGAATGCCTATAATTGTTGCCAAAATGAATGTCATTGTGTTGAAACTCGTGTTTTTGGTACCCCGCCTTTTTGAATGTTGCCAAAAGGGGGAGAAATATTGGGCTTTCATATGCATCAATTTAGGGGGAGTTTTTATCAAAATATCACGTGCATCAACTTAGGGGGAGTTTTAAAATCAATATATGTTTTTCACGATATGTTTGTGCGTTTGATTATTATATTCGAAAGCCTTATTTGTCAACATCAAAAAGGGGGAGATTGTTGGCCTTGAATGCCGTACCCCGTAACCGTTTTGATGTACCAAATAAGTCTTCGAAATGTTACTAACATCATTTGCAGGAAAAACAAACGCCAAAACCTCTATTAGCTTGTTTAGCATCACCGAGATATACTCCTACGAGTTTAGAAATTGTTGTGTAAAGGTAATGATATATTTTAATGAGTTACTTATGCCCTTTCACTCAAAATTTAATTTTAAAATGACAAATATATTCTTAGTTGGGGTTATTTTGAAAACGGAACACGAAAAACGAGTTTTGGAATTTTTACACAGGCCTAACGGTACCTGGCTACCGTATACACGGCACCAGGGTA